CATACCCGCATATCCGCTGCAAAACCAGCAATATGGTGCTTCCTCCTCTTCACTCATCACCCCCTCTTCCCCACGTGGCCACACCACGTTCCTACTCAACCCACCCAACCACCTCCTTTCACGCCCCTCCCTCCTTCCCTTTGCCTCCGTCCCCCTCCCTTTTCCCCTTTCTCGCTCCCCTCCAGCACACCACCCGCGAATCAGTTAGCAAATCGTGCATAGGCTCAGGAGAATCAAGCCGAGTTGGGGTAAGCCGAGCCGAGGTTTAGTTGCCCACGAAAAGCATTTTCGGAAGATAAGAGTGTATTTCGTGGCAGCGGTGACTGTGAAACGGACGGACTAATTAATATGCATGTAATACAAAATGGATTGAAAACCAGCGCATTGTGACTGAGATTAGTGTTTACGTAAGAATAATATCAGTGGTATCAGCAGCAATGGAGGTCTTCGACCATCGAGCTGTACTTGTTGCGATTTCAATAATCTCCACATACGATCAGTTTTTAAAAACGCTTTTCCTCACTACAAACTCTCTTCCGCGACGTGTTGTTGTCTTTTAAGTTTTTATGCACTTTTTGCTGTACAGAGCTATAGCGCGCAACAGCGAGCAAAAACACACATTGTTGAGACGTCGTCTGTATGTGTGTGTTCGGAAGCGAGTGAGCTTTGTCATCCACTTTCAGCAACTTGTTGCGGAAAAAAATTTTAGCAGAATCAAATTCCGTTTGAAGGATTCAGAGAGAAGAATTCGGTGAATCAGTGGCTGCAACAGTCCTTCTATCTTATTCGTCCGGATTCTTAGCAACCTTAATGTAGTCTAGATGCCCTGGATTATCTCAGTCGCTTCTTTCTCTTTCTCTCCATCAGTCGACAAATATGCCATCTTTACCTGAAAGATTGGGACGGAAATATCCGTACATCAACTATTTATTCGTGTCTCAGGTAGAAGCAAGAGTGCGAACATTCAGCGTGCAAAATTAAAAAGGACAATATCGGCGTCCAGCGGCAAAAATATCGGCTTCCAGTAGCGAAGCTTCCGATCCTTCTCAAAGTTCAGGGAGCCGCCTTGGGCTCCAATAGTTGCCGCATTCTCCGAATTTGTTCTTGACAACTGAAAATCCTTAGCCGCTCCTGCCGATCCGTTTTCGTCAACATTTTTATAAATATTTGACAAAAACACCATATGTACAGAATTAAGACAAACAAAGTAATGATTATTAATCACTGAAATCCCAAATATGTGTATAAACCACTAAAACCTAAAACTGTTCGATAAAGATGGCTCAACGCGTTACAATTAGGGAAGCTGGGAGGCTAAAATTTTATGTTCCTACTCTCTGTGTCATTCTCCCGTTTTAAGATCCCCCTACTCGGCGAAACCCCGCATACGAACTCCTGGAAAAAATATGCAAACTTCTTTGGTGAAAAACGGTTCCGGAAATTAGGCAATTTAGAAAGTTCAAACTCTGCAGGGATATTCTACGTGCTTATGCGAGCTAAAAATTTCAAACTCAGCTTTCGCGCACGCTTGTGCAGCGCGCACAGTCACGTCAAGGTTTTGCACTTGACGCTGTGTTAACTCGAAAACTAGCCGGAAAATAGTAGCTGAAATTTTGTCAGCATGTTTATCGCCTGTATGGGAAATCATGTTCCTAAAATGAGTTGTGATTTTCACTTGCGCTACGACTTAAGGCATTTCAAAGATATTTGTAGCGAAGTGGCTGTTCCGTTTACTGAATAAGATGAAAGGTTAACACTTCGCTGGAATATTTTACTTCCAATTGTGGTCTTAATCCTGCTTGGAGGTGAAATTCCATGCAGGTGGTTACAAGAAATACTCAACTTTACTGAAGAATCAGAGAAGAATGCATTTTGCAGCGAACGAACGCCCTCATTCAAATATGTAAATGAACATCCAGTTCATCTGCATATTCGGATTTTTTGACGAACAACTGCTCAAGCAACTTTTCAACATTTTAGTAAAGGAGTGAAATTTTTGCATTTTTAAAAATTTGCATTTTTCATTTTTTTAAAAAGTGAGCATTTATCGAAACCGAGGCTGAAGCGCACCAGGAGAGCCGGTGCAATCATGTGATTTTGCACCAAACCTGAAATAATTAGGTTAACTGCATGAACGATTGTTTCTTTACACTTACTTTGTGCGCTCAATACCATAAATCATCGTAAATTTTGCATAGAAGGAAATAAACGATTTCTGTTTAGCGGTCATTTTTTGAAAATGACCCAGCTGTTCAATGAGTAATTTTCCCGCCAAGAATTTAAGTGCACATACACGAGGACCACACGTACGTGGATGTTGAATCTGAAGCCTTTAAGCTGCATTTGGACGGGCAATATTCCCCTAAAGCCTCGGCTTTCCAGCATTTCTGGTTCCCGGATTGGCAATTTTCCCACCAAAACTTTCACAGGGCCGCAATTGACCTGGGAACATACCTGAGGGCTGGATTTGGAATCATTAAGTTGTATCTAGGCTGGAGACATCCCTTTAAAATTCCAGCCTCCCAGCTTTCCTGAAGTTGGCGATTTTTGCGTAAGGAACCCTTCAGGGCTGTACACGGGAATTATGCACAGCCGGGGCTGAATTTGAAATCTTTGAATCCTATGTGGCGGGGAAGCATAATCTCAAAATTTCAGCTTTCTAGCTTTTCTCGTTCTCGAGTTAACAATT